AGGGAAAGAACTAAGTTATGGTACTGGTGAAAGTTATTTTTAAGAAATAAGTGTTAAAACTGTTAGTGCAAATGTTGATATTTTAAACTATCTACTGTAAACATTTTAAAACATTTATGCAGTATTCATAATTAATTTAAGTTTGGTTTCAATTTTTTTAATATAGATGGCTTCAAGAATTTTTAGCTTGTTTATTATTTTCAAGAAAAAACATAAATGTATTTTCATCAAGAATATATTCTAATTATAAAAATGCCAAAAATATCCTAAAAAATTAATAAATACAAACATTTTCACAACAAATCCTAGTAATAAAATGAATTATATATTACACTAAATCTAGTATATTTAATTCAATCATTTATAACGACTCTTCCCCACCAACTAACGTGTTGCAGAAAACCCACATTGTATATAAATTTAAATGACCTCTGGAAGATTGTATCTCCAACGGAAAAAAATGTTTGTTGGCCACACTACAATCATGTCTCGGCAGCTGAGTTTTCATTTGAATGATGCATCCAACATTTTTAAACATTTAAAACGGCATACCTATCCACATTCACAATTCAGAAAAATTCTCGTTGAAAATACATCTATATTTTTTCATGAAAATAATAAACATAAGCTAAAAATTCTTGAAAAACCAAGGAGCAATGGCAACTGTGTTAAAAGCATGATATTTTGGATACACAGTATTGAATGATGGAAACTGAGTAAGATAATCACTACAAATCCAATTACCATAAATTAAAATAACATCATCAGCTGAATTATTTTAAAATTATTAAGAGAAATGTTTGTAATGTTGGGACTTGGCTAGTTTATGTCATTTACTCTTTTTATGTTTGGACTATTGTTATCACAGTGTTTTGGGCATTGTGCTCTCTGACCTTCCTCAGGTGCATATCTATTTGGGTATCCTACAGAGAATTTTGAATTGAACTCTTTATTTAATCTACAGGGGATAGACTGTTCTTATTCAACTGTTCATATCTAGGGATATCTTGTCTATTTTTTTTTATTTTTATTTAGTTATTGCTTGCCTGTTTTCACTTGAGTGCAAATACACACTACTTGAACCAGAGGTTGAACTCACAATTCCTTTGTCATTAAATTGATAAACCAATGCTTTAATCCAGTGGGTCATTGAAAATCCTCCAGCTGGTATTAATTCTGCAAACACATTAGAGAAAATGCACTAAGATATATCACTGTTGTTTTTGTGTGGCTGACTGACACAGGAAAGCAATTATAATAATGAAGAAATTCATTATTCATATAAACCAGAAAAACTGTCAAGATCTCATTTAATCTGTGGCTGGCCCAATCAGCAAAATATACACGTGAAAAATTTTTTTATTATACTCAAAGTATTTTACAAAATACATTGCTAAGGAGCAAGATATCAACAAAAAAGATATGGATATAAGTTTTTTTTCTTTCTGTCTTTTTTTAATCATTTTACTCCAAACAAGGCAATAAAGTCACTAAGACACAAAGTGTTACTAAATGTTAGAGAATATGAGAAAAAATATACCATTAAGTAGAGAGGACAATAAAAGAACAAGAATTAAAATGGTAGAAGATGATGATTGATATTGCATGTAAGTTTTTGAAGATCAAAGTTGACTGGGAAGCAAGAAGCTGGTAGAGTTCTAAATACTGTAAATGGAACTTGTATATAGTCTATCACTAAAGAATCTGGAAAATTTGGTTGGTTCCTTCTCACACTCCAGAGAGAGTACCTGACTTCTTTAACCATGCTTACAAGAGCAGACCAAAAATAGTCTATTGCTGCCAAATCCTCACTTTCCAACCTTGACAGACTTCAAAAGTGTTTGCATGGCCTTGTGGGTGATGAATTATTTTCCACCTATTAACCACTTTCCCACTACTAGCCTTTCACTACTCTATCACTATTTTGATAGCCAATGTTGGATGAACTACATTCTTTGGTTCCACTAGTCTAGACATTCACCGTTAGGATTCACCATACCATGTGCTCATCAGCTCATCTGATTTTCCCTTCATATTCCATTTGTGTGGAGTAAGTGCCATTCAGACATCTTCTTCCCCAGGACTGTTGCAATGTGGAATGAACTCCTGAGAGGATACTTTCTTGAAAACTACATTTTTCAATTAGTAATGATAATTCCTCATTTTTTATAAGACAGAAATTAACATGTTTTTTTGAGTTTTTTCAGGTTTTTGGATGAACAGTAAAAAAAAAAAAAAAACGTAAAGAAAAAAATGGTTTTCAACCTGTAATGATACTTCCTCATTTTTTTAAGACTTCATGTTTTTTTTGTTTTATTTGCATTCTTCCATCTTCTGATTTAATACATTTTCTTCAATTTTTTTTTGCTTTTGAATTCTTCCATTTTGATTTAATACTTATCCAATTTTATTTTTTTAGTGGGGGGGGGATTTTACAAGCACATTTCTAATTTTCATGATGTAGACAAGAGTATCTGTCTATATTTCAGAGATGAGGTTTTGTAACTGTTTACATCATTCAGACTGTTGTACGCATCCTTATTGCCATATTCACAATGTTTTCAGCCATTGTACACTTGACCTTCTTCAGGTGATATACCTTGAAATTTTGAAACAAACCCTTTACTTAGTCCATGTGGGTAGATTGTTCTAGTTCCATGTGCCATGCCTTTTTGGGATATCTCCGTATCAGTTAATTCTCTTTAGTAACTCAACTCTCCAAGTTTGTTTTTCCCCCAAGGACAAATGGCCCAGTAGATAAAAATGTTGGTTGAGTAATCCAAAAAAGTGATTTGACCCAAAGAGTTGTGAGTTCAATACTTGGCCACAGTAGAAGGAACGAAAAATTGCAATGTCAATCATTACCTACTGTCTTTTTGATTTCTCTTCCTTTATTATTCTTGCTCCTTTAGTAATGTTATTTCTTTTTCTTATTCCTTCATACTCTGTAACACCTTGTGTCTTAGTGACTTTATTGCCTTGCTTCGGGTGAAATGAGATATATATGCACACACAGTCACTTGTTCATTTCAAAATACTTATGATGTATTTGTGGGAAAATGAAATAACCCACTAAATTTAAATAATAAAGAATAAAAAAAAAATTAATTTTCCTATGATGCAAGTTATAAAGAAACCAAAAAGGGTTTTTGACCAGATGTGTGATTTTATGTCCTCATTTCCAAAAAAGACAGAATCTTTCTCTTTCCAATGAGATTGTTCGGTTGTGTTTTTAGCAACTCATGAAGTAGAGATTTGGTAATCCCAACTCTGTGCAAGGCTGACTTGAGCTCAACCATCTTTACCTGTTCTCATCCATACTTCCCATAAATTATTTCAGAACCAAAAAGGAAGCTCAAGATTTTTTTTGTATGCTTCTATTTTCTTTGTTTATATATTGAACATGCACCTTCACCTAAAAAATATACACAAAACCCACAAGCTTGTTAACTACCACAGTTGTTAGCAGAAGTTATTTAGCAGACAAGATAGGTAATCGAACAATACTATAGATTCTATAGTATCTAAATTACAAAAATTTTGGAATTTTTTTTAAAATTTAAATATACTCTATAGTATTCCAAGAACTTTTTGTGTAATTTTGGTAAATATATCTGTTAAAATGAGATGTCTGTGTTATTTTCATTTTTGTGTAGTTTAGAAGACAATTTATCCATTGCACCATGTAAATACAAATTGGATCTAAATAAAACTTAGAGACATGTCATAATTGATCATTCATCTTAAATAAATCAATGTTTCACAGCAATTTTTAGCATCAACTTGAGAATTTTCTTGTTAAAAAGTTGAATAATTTTTACACATTCCACATTATAGCTAACAAATAGTTAATTTTATATCATGTATTTTTGAGACTTAGCATGAGCAAAACAGTCATGGATTTGGATGAAAAAAGATCCCTGAATAATGTCAAAATCTGCAAAAATCCCGATTTGGTGCTAGGCTGACTTGAGCTTGACCATTTTTACCCATTCTTATTTTTACTTCCCATAAATAATTTCTGAGCCAAAAAAGAAAACAGACATACTCAAGACATTTAACTTTGTTCCAATACAGTCAACATAAAAGAAATAAATGTCCATAGCAGAAACTCAATTTTTTTTTTTTTTTTTTTCATGCTTCTTCTATCTTCTTTGTTTATATATTGAACACACACCTTCACCTAAAAAATACACAAAAAACCCGCAAACATTTAAACATCTACATATTTACTTTATGAAGAAAAATATATGGAAAAAAACAAACAAAAATCCTAATATGCAATTATGCTGTTTTAATGTTAATATAATGTCAATGTCGGACGTTTCGGTCTTGTAGACCATCTTCAGGACATATTCTTACTCTTATGTCCATCGTCTTTTCATGTTGAATTAAATATAGTCTAATATTAATTATGTTTGTAGAATATTTTTTCTACATACTGTCGGATCTATATATTTGTTTACATATTTACTTTATGTAAAATTTATTGGTTACTTGTATTCAAATCATTTTCCTATATATATATATATATATATATATATATATATATATATATATATATGTAAGCAAATGTAAATGGATATAGATCCGACAGTCTTTTCATTTTCTTTTTCATTCAAAATAATCAAAAATTTTTAAGAGTACGTTTTGAAAGTGTCGCCCATGTGACGACAACGTGACCATGCTAAACGGAAAGCTGATCATTTTAAAAATTTTCAGTTATCTGTTTTGGATAAGACTTGTTGTTTATGTCCATCATCTTTGTCAAATTGAACTGAATTGTATTTTAATGAATATTGTCTTGAAAAAGGTTTATTAAACCGAAATGTCAGACGTCGACATTTCATTCATTTTAAACATAATTGTATTTAAGGATTTTGTTTTTTCCAATTTTTCCAATTTTATATATATATCATATATATATATATATATATATATATATATATATAACCAGCAGATTATATATAAAGTAAATATATTTAAGACATGATTTGAAAATGTTTTCCACCATTGTAGACATTTCTTCTATTTGGAATACCATGTCTTACATTGAGGTCAATCCAAAGTAGTTCTTTTTTTAACCTGGTTCTTAAATGTGCATTAATCCATGTCACAGCGTTTGGTTTTATGCACTTTACAATTTGCCTTTAACTGTCAAATAATAAAAATAGATTTGTGTATAGATTTAAAAGCCTTGTCTGAGACTCAGGCAAGTTCTTGTTCTATATGCACTCTGCATTATTATTTATTTGTCATCTGCAGCATCTTGATACCATCGTTCTCTCCAAATTTTATTGGATTGTTTCCAGGGTTGACTGATGCATGATAGATAATCTTTGTCTACTGCCACTGTTTCTATTTTTAGGATGGTGGCTTTTAGATTTCAATTCTTTTCGAAGTTGATCGCAACTAAGAATTCCTGCTTTTTCATTACTTGGAGCTTTGTTGCTTAGACAGGTGACAAATACAAGTGGAAAGGTACTCTTTTCAAAATCCACTGATTGCCAGCAAGGAGGTACAACTTGTGAAATGGTTATTGATACAGAAAAAGGGTAACTAGTGAGTTGAGATCAAATTCTGGTTTAGTTTGTTTGTTCACTTCTTGGCTACCTCCCTTGGGGAAGGCATGATTCCATCTATTCCCTCTCCAGCAATGGTTTAATAAGAAAGTAGACTAGGGTCTCTAGCTTTCGTTGATAACTCTGAATTCAAAATCATTTGGGTGAGTGTTTAGTCTGTGAAAAAATATACTTACTATGGAAACCACAGTGGCAAAGCCTATCTAATCTCCTATACGGTAATGAATACTGGACAATCTTCTCAAGCCATAAGCAAAGTATTAAGAAATAGGATAATGTCATTAGAAACAAAGAAAAGAGTACTGAAATGCTATGTAATATCTAATCTCGTATATGACAGTGAATACTGGACAATCTCCTCAAGCCTTTCAGAAACTAAGAAAATTCTAAGAGGTAAAAAGATGTCATTAGAAACCAAAAAAGTTCTGACCTCCTATGTAATGTCTTTTTCCACACAGATATTTAACATGCATCCATACCTTAGTTTGTTTTTGTGTGTGTGTGTGTGGGAACTACCACTCATTGTCAATCATTTAAGCACCCACATTTGTTCATTTCATGTTTTAAGAGTTGTCCCTCAAGTCATAACATGCATAAATTTGATGAAGTGTAATATATATATATATATATATATATATATATATATATATATATATATATTTTTTTTTTTTTTTTTTTTTAATTACTTTAATGAGTATAATTATATAGAATATTACTTCCTATTTTTTTTTTCTTCATTGTGTTGTGTTCCTTCAGAACTTTTGTGATCATGACTCTCCACAACTTTCTCTGCTTTGTAGCTCTTAATAAATTTTGTCTTTTTTTTAGTTCTCCTAAACCCTGTTTTGCCATTACTCAAGGTCGGTAGATAAGTTATGAGTTGTTTTTCTCTGTCCCTCTTGCGTTCAATCTGTTCTGTGAATATCAAATTTTCTGAGTCTTTTTTTTCCTCATATGCTCTAGAAATTTCAACTGTCTCTTTCTGCTGTTAAGCAGAAGTGTCCTTTTTGTTTACATTTTCTCTAAAATTTCAGCATTGATCACATGTCTAGTCCATGGTATTCTCAGCATCCTTCTATAGAACCACATTTCTGTTACTTCAAGTCTCTTCTTCATCTACTAGAAGATTGTTCAGCATTCATTGATATATAGAAGGACCAATATTACATAAATGTTGAGTACTCTTTTCTTTGTTTCTAATGAAATTTTTGTGTTTCTTTATACTTTGCTTAGGTTCCCATATGATCAGCAAAGTTAAGCAACATAGTCAGTACCTAGATGGGTGACTGCTGGGGAATACCAGGTGCTGTAAGCTTTTATGTGCATGTGGTTGTTTAATAGATAATTGTTCAGAATTGTTAATTAAAGAGCTGAGTTCCAATTCCCATTCACTTGTGTGCAAATACCCTTGGGAAAGTTATGAATCCACCACTTCTCCCTCCAGCTATGGGTTAATTAGTAAAACTTGTATCATTGAAAAACATTATCAAAAAATATATATATATTACAATCCAAAAATATTTTCTGCCTTTAAATTACCTGTGATGTGTTAAACTATAGAAAATGAATGAATCAATCAATACTTTGCTTAGCTTTTGGAAGGCATTATTTCCTATCCGAATATTTCTTTGGATTTCAGTATATTTACTATTATTTATAATGTTGTGAAAGATCTCCCATACCTTTTTGCCATAAAAGTATTTTTAGTCGTTTTAAAAGCTAGCAACCAGTTTTTGTTGATAGGAAAATCTACACCTTGTTGAATGTTGACGGACAAGAAGCAGCAGCTGCTTTGTCATTTTGCGTATCCTATAAAACAAACCTCCTGTCTTCTGCTGTCACTTAATTTCCTTCTCTTTTCCTCCTATTAGTGCATCCTCCATTGTATGACCCTTCCATCTTGTTACATGTTTTGTATTTCTATACTTAAGAGAAAGTCACATCTTACTTCCTTTCAAAGGTCGAGATTTTCTCCTTTTGTCCATGGGAAACTCGCATATTCAGATCCCAGCCATTATTTTGATTTGTTAAATTCTTTTTACTTTTACTGAAACCTATGGGCAGGTTTATCTGACTTTTCCTTGCCCTTTTTTTTATTTTTATTTTTTAAACTGAGCAACTTGATCTGACGACTACTTCAGGCAGTGAATGGTTTCTGGCTTAATTTCTGTTCATTTAGAGTGATTTTGAAAATCCTTTGATTATAAGTTTTATATTTGCTTAATTAACTTGAGGTTCACAATGAATTCGTTCATATAAAACTTACAAAGCTGAGAGCTCTGTGACTGATTCCTGCTGTTTGCTTTTCAGATACCACAACAACAAACAAACAAAAAAACTTCAGGCAGACAAAGGTAGGGATCACTTTTTTTCTTTCTCCCCGACTCCTACTCATCTCTGACTATGCCCATTTTTTTTTTTTTTTTCCACCCACAGAACTTGGATTTCATTTTGTTCCACCTTTGAATTTTTGTTTTCCATTCTCAGACCTTGGATTTTTTTTCTAATGAGACTTTTAATATAAAAATCTACAAGACTTTTCTTTGATAAAGGCAGCCAAGTACTTTATAGTGATCTTGCATTAAAAAAAAACATTGTAAGAGAGGAAAGTTTTATTCTTTTTCATAAATTTTAATAGAAATTTTATTTTTTATTTTTTGTAATGTGCTTCCATATCTTTTCAAGCAAATTGATCAAAATATGTCTATTAATTAGGTGAAAATTACTTTCATTAGGAAAAAGCAGACAATATGAAAAAATGTTTTTTTGGTTTCATAAAATGACTAATAAAAACAGGAATCTGTCAGATGATGATGCCAACGACTGATAATAAGTCTGTATAAGTTTTTAACATTTTTTTCTTTTTTCTATTTTTTTCTTCTACTTATCTTTTCTGCTTTTCTTATCTGGAAAGGGATATATTTGTTCGAAGTAGCAAATAGGTTGTTGACTACTGTAACCAGGCAGGACAATCTAGAGGTAACCGTAATGGACTGGTCCTTGTCGTAGTGGTAGGCAATAGGCGTTGTCCATGTATCTCCACATCAGTCTGTATTTATGGCTGACACCAGCCAATCATATTACTGCGAGGGGGAACCCAGGTGTATGCATATTCATTACATCATTATCTTTTCTCCTTTGCTTATCTTTTCTCCTTTGCTTATCTTTTCTCCTTTGCTTATCCGCTTCTTTTTTCCTGTTCTTTTCAATTTTTTTTTTTTTTTTTTAGTGAAACAAATTTATATATTTTTGATATCAACAATGTGTTAAAAATGTGTTTTATAGGGTGAGTGAATGATGATCCTGATGCTTCGATATGAGTTGGTGCCAACAATGATATACACATACACGCATACAGGGTGTTTAAAAAAATTTGATATCATTCAAGATGTAAATATCTGAGTAACTACATAGTCTAGACAAATGAAACTTAACAGGCTTATTGTTGGGCAAAATAAGATTTTTACATCAAAATTTAAATGAGAAATTCAAATGTATATGGGTTTCATGAATGATTTCACAAGTTTTCAATATGCAATGTGGCACGTGTCAAGTTGGTCATCCAGCTCTTGCCCAAGATGTTGCAGCATGTCTTCGGTAATATTGGAGGAATCAGGATTTCCAGATTTCCTCTTCTTATGGACTTCCTGGAACTTTGCAAAAATGCTTTCCAAACTTGCTTGATCATCTCTTCCAATACTGGTGTTGGTTGTTCAAATCATTTTGCCCTGCACAGACAGCCTTCCATTTTTAACTTGTTGTGCCATGTCCAAATCTACATTTGCAGGTGGCGCATTTTTAGTGAGTTCTCTCAAAAATGCATGCTGCACAATCTTGTTTGACTATTTTTTCTGTATTGAAAAAAATAATATAAAATGTTAAATATAGAATTTTGAGTTGTTATTATGCTTGTTGTTAACATCATTTAAACAAGAATTGGTCAAGTTATTAGATTATGAAATGATATCAATTTTTCTGAAAACACTGCATGTTTATGCACACAGAAGAAAAATTTAAACTTAATTATGATATTAAGATTGGATTACAATATTAAAATAATTACAACCATACACACAACTATTATGGATATCAGTAACAAAAATATTCATAACAATTATGAATCTGAAGCAGGTATGTATAAAATAAACTGTCACGACTTTTCCTTACAATATATTGAAGAAACTTGCAGAAATTTTTAAAAACATATCTTTGAACACAAAAAGGATATTATTCACAACAATTTATTAAATGCATTAATAATTTCAACCACAACTTCAATCTAAAGAATGCAACACTTATTAAAAGAGAAAATAGATTAAAAATTCTTGAGAGTGCTATTGTTGAATTTAGCCAAAATATAAATCTGCCTTCTGGATTTTTTCAAATATTTTCTTTCATTAAAGAACCACTACTTTCACAAGCCAACATACATGGCTATTAAAAATTTAAAAATAAAAGAAAACAGTTAAATTCAAAACTTATTATTTAAAATATATAATGCATAAATTTATTACAAACTAAAATATTATAAAAAAAAGATATTTCAAGATTCACTTTTAATTTTCATTTGAAAGACACAATGTTTCTTTTTTTTTTCTTGTTGAAAGGAGCAGTAAAACATACAAAATGCTGTACATTGCAGTAGAGATCTGCATAAAAAAAGAAGGAAAAAGTATTATTTTGCCAGGAAAACCTTCTTGAATTGCAATGTTTTTAGTTTAAATGTTATTTACATTTGTTAAGCATTACAAATAGATATACAGGCAGTGTAATGGTTATCAGCATCAAAAGTGGAATTGGCGAGCCGAGTACAAACTCCAGCTGAGTTTATTGCATTCATTTTTGCACAAATGCTCTTGGGGAAATGTGTGAATCACTCCCTTCTCCCTGCTGCTATGGATTAAATAACAGGATGACTGGATATCTGGGTAGCAACAAGTCTAAGAGAAGGATTACTTTGAATTCAAAATCATGGAGAAGTCATTGTGAGGCGAATGAAGAAAACAGTAACCAGCGAGTAAATTCAAGCTCTCCCAGCTGGTATTTCAAACTTGAGTCGTTCCTTCCAGAGTTCTGTCTCCAAATCACACTAACTGCCCATTCTAGCCGTCAACCGTGAACGTTCCTTCGAAGAACTCCCCGACTTGGAAAAAAGTAGTTGTTTTTATAGTTGTTCATGTACCCATAATCCCTTGCGTCTTCCTGTGATCCCATAGTTCATTGCGTCCATGTCCCATAATGCATTGCATCGTTATTGCATAAAAAATGCGATGCCAGTCCCCCTCATTCTTTTTTTACGTTATCTGGCCGAGGATGGATTACGGCAGAGCGGTAAGTGCTTTTTTCTCCCTCATTTCAACTGCAGTAGCTTTACATGCTAAGCAAATACAGGCTCTTTTTTGGCGGGGACAAGGCAAGTCGCGACCAGTTGTGCTCGTCCCAGGTTCTGTTTCATGTCTGCCACAAGTCACTATCTTTCCACAAAATTCATTGTAATTTAGATATAGTTTAAAAAAACAAAATGGTGGTGGGGATTCTGTGGAGAGCCACAGTCATTGATATCCTGAAAGCATATGGCATTAAAAAAAACATTAATTTTATTTTTTAGGAATGAAAAAACATTTTAATATCAAATGCAATGAACAACAGGAATGGATGGAGACAGTGTGTCATGGAATGCTGAGTTTGCTTGATCTGATGATGATACTTTTCGAGTCTGTTTCACATTGCTAAGATTGAGTATGAAATGATTTTATTTTTCAGGATTATCGATAAAGGGCCAGAAGCACAAAGAATGAGTAACTCCAAAGTCATATTAAGTGGGTGGTTAACAGTCCAGGTAAGGAATAACAAATATCCAGCATGTGGTAGATATTTATCCTTTAAATAATATCCAATAATAATAATATTAAAAAAAAAAATGTTATATTATACCTTTGCGGTGGTAGTCTAACTGTTAGCACATGGCCTCGTGTAAGTGATATGTAATTGCCGTTCTGCTGCCAACATTAAAAGAAAGGAGTGGGCGTTAAATTTGACATAAACAAAACTGTTAGGAAAAGTCATTTTGGAGGATTCTTCAGCAGGAAAGAAAACAAACCAATAAAATTGGAATGAAAGGAGAAATATATGTGAAATAAATATTAAACTAATTTATTTGCAATTTTACAAATCATGTATCAGCAATTGTATGTTGAATATGGGGATGAGAAAGATTAATTCATTGTGAGTGTGAGAGGACCATAATTATAAAATTCAGTACCATTGAAATAAAGCCTTTTAGCAATGATTTATTTTTTTTTAAAAATCATTTCACTCCGAGCAAGGCAATAAAGCCACTAGGACACAATGGGTTACTGATTGTTAGAGAATATGATAAAAACTACTATTAACATTTAGCACTCTGCATCATTTATAAAAATTACTTCCCCTTTTACTGTATATGAAATCCCTTCAAAATATAGTGTTTTATATATTAGTTCTATATATTTGAAATTGCAGTAGTCTGGCTCTCAATTTCAGTCAAGATTGTTTTAGGTGTTGCCATAGAAGTGGTACTGCACTACTAAGAAATTTCAATTCAACTTGCATTGACTTTTTGCTTGGCGAAAATAGTCAGCTACAGAGTGTTGTTAAGGAGAAAGGACAATAAAAGAACAAAGATTAAGAAGACTCAAGATAATGATTAACATTAAATTAGAATTTTTGATTGTCAAAGAAGACTAGAAAGCAAGAAGCTGGTAGAGAGTTCCACAAGCAAGAAGTGCAATAGGAGAAACTGTTAGCATAGAATTTATGGTTATACCTGGCCATTTCAACTGTAAAATGTTTTTTTTCACTCCAAGCAAGATGATAGTCAGTAAACCGTAAAGGGTGACTGAGAGTGAAAGAAGTCAAGAAAACATTACTGAGTTGATAAAAGGATTTCAAAAGAAAGATGACAATCATCATTGCATTTAAATTCATGAAGGTTGCAGTTGACAGGATAGTGAGAATGTGTGAAAGAAGAAACTGTTAGAATAGCATTTAGCAAATTAAACCATAAAAGGATGAGACCTAGCTGCCAATATCGTACTGCACTTAAATTTGTAAAGTCCAGGTACCAAAGAAAAATGCTCATCAGAACAGTTGCTATAAAAATATTTATAGAAAAGTTACAGGGAAGCAACATTATGGTAGTTAGGGTTTTATGGGATTTTATCAAGAATCTTCAGATATATTGCAGAAGCACCAGACATGTAATTTATAAGAATATCCAACTCCTCCCCCTCAATATGCTTGAGGAAGTTTAAAAATGTTCGGTACCAATTACATATTTTCTCTGTCCTTTCTTACTATCTAGATTCCAAATTTTAGGTTTTAGTACCCTATCCATTTTGATATCCAAACCAAGAAATAGTAGTTAATAGAATGTTGTAAACTATAATTAGTTAAAAATATTCACTATTATTTCTCTAGTAGCTTTGTTTTCAAGGTTAGTATTAGTTCAGCCTCCAGCTGTATCAACTGCTATTTACATGGAGATTTGCATATGAATACATCAACAGCAATATGTGATTCATGAATGAATATTAAACTTAGAAATATGTAAGATATATTCTAGCAAGAAAAATTGTCTATTATTCTGGTGGCAAAATTGTTGGTCATATGCAGCACGCATAGTGTAATTTTCCAAAAGTGTAATATTTTATTTACACTATTTACATTGTTCGGACTGTTGTCCTCATCTTTGTTGTCATATTCACTCCATCAATATCTGTCTATATTTCTGACATGAGGTATTGTAATTATTTACACTATTTACATTGTTCGGACTGTTGTCCTCATCTTTGTAGTCATATTCATGATGTTTTGGCTGTTGTACACTTCACCCTTCTTCAGGTGATTGAAATTTTGACCCATTTGGAGACAGATATTTATTTACATGTGGACTATTGTCCTTATTTTTGTTGTTGTTATCAAAACATTTCTATCATTGTAGCTTCTGGCCTTCAGCAGTTGCATATCGAGCTGGGTAACCTACAGGCAATTCAAAATTGAACATTTTATTTAATCTACAAGTCTAAACTATTTTGATGGAAATAGTGATAAAGCAGCAGTGAGAGACTTGTGACATTTTGTCTGTAGGAAAGGGGGTGTAGGTTGGAAATTAATTCATCACCCACAAGGATGTGCAGACACTTTTGGGCTCAAGACTGGAAAGTGAAGACTGGGCAACTCCAGCCCATATAAGGCAACAGTACTCCATTTTTGACCTGATCTGGCTCTTATAAAGGTAGAGGATAGCAGGAGGAGTCGGATACTTAATGGATCAATACAGGGAACTGACCATTTTTCCAGAACCTTAAGTGATGGATTGTATGTATGAATTCCACTTGAGTTTTGGTTCCAGCTTAAGACCCAACAGGTGCTCAAGTCACAGGGGGCCTGCCTGAGAGAATGCCCATTCATTGTGATAGGTGAAAATTCAGGGTCCACTTGGAGATGAAGTAACATCATTAGTTTTGGAGGCATTGAATGTGACCAGCCAGTTTTTCCCATCTGAGCCGTTAGAGATAGGCCAGAGGAGGGATCAACTGCCAAGCTCTGATCATCTAGAGTTATCTAGAGATGATGATGATGATACCAATGTTTACTATTTATCCATTGTAATATCTCTCTGGAGGCATGGTGTAGTAATGGATAGTAGCTCAGATTGAGGCTTCAGAGATCCGAGTTTGAATTCCAGTCAAGTTCATTGCATTCACTTACGTATTAATACCCTTGGGAAAGTTATGAGTCCATTCCCCACTCACCAGCTATGGGTAAATAGCAGGAGAGACTGGGCCCTATAGTTTTGGTTGGCAACCAGTCTAGAAGAAGAAAACTCTGAATTCACACCACCTGCTGCCTTGTAGGTCCTGCATCTTTAACTTCTGAGAGAAGAGATGGAGTAACCTCAACATTACAAGTGCAAAAGGAACTGGCAAGCCACTGCACTATTTTGCCTTCAATGTCACAACAAAACACAAATAAAAGATGAAGGAGAGTGGTATCCACAGTGGCGCAAAATGCACTAAATAAATTATGGAGGTGAAATGTGGACACTGTTGGCAGAATCAGAAAGAAGAATCCAAGTGTTTGAGGACAAATGTATGAGAAAACTCCTTGACATTTTCTATTGGGAACATAAAACCAATGAGTTTGTGTGGAAAAGGGTTGAAGGTTTTGTGGGCCACCAGGAACCTCTTCTCACCACTGTCAAACAGAGAAAAATGGCATGGTTTGGACATGTTACAAGGCATGACAGCCTGTGCAAGACTATCATGCAAGGCACCATTGATGGTGTATGTAGGAGAAGATGCCAACACAAAACCTGGTTACACAACGTCAAACAATGGACAAGTATGACAAAAATTGTATGTGGTTACAAACCATTGTGGAAATTGTGTTGGAATAAACCATTGTGGAGGAGATTCAAAATGGCTTCTGCATTCAGATTGTTGAAGCTTAAATAAGCATGGAATAATACAACACAAAATGTACGTTAACAAAATGTATTGAAACAAAGAATAGGTACACAATATTTACAGTTAGTTTGGTATATTCTTGGGAAGACTGTTCCTGCATAATGGGTTGACTAAATCGCAGTCGGGCAGAGTCTGGATTCAATTTCTTAATCTCTACTATCTTCCCCGTTCGGAACCCATATTTATATGGTTTGGTAGTCCGCTTATGTAAATTAGGTGTATCAACAACAACACCCTCCCAAGCCTTGAATCCCTTTTGGATTTCAAACTGGCTTCCTATATGGGTTGATGATTATGGCTATTTCTTTGTAGATCCATTTGCCTAATTTTTTAATTTTTTTCGTTTTGGATTCACGCTCAATGGGTCCGTCTTCCGTTTCCTACCGGATCTTCTTGGTTCAGGTGTATTCTGTGGAGGTTCTACCTGAAACATATCATACATTATATCAATGGGATCTTTCGTCCTCATCCGTATACACTCTTCTTGCTCTATACCGTAATCTTTTTTTTAAGTTGGTTTTGGTGCCTTTTATAAGTATTCTTCGCCCTTTAATTATGTAAATCAGGTCACCGATTCTCTTGTCCACTATGCCTCGTTCCCAGAACTCAACGTTGTTTTTATAGCACTTGAAAAACACCTTCTCTCCGGAGTGTATCTTTTTCTCGCTGTATACATGGTATTTTTTACTGTATTTTTCCTGGCAAAAGCTTGTCAAACACTGACTTAACTTTCCTAGCGAACATTAGTTCAGCTGGTGCCATGTTTGAATGTGTTCTCTGGTTTGGCGTGATTCTGTATACTTGTAAGAATTGCTGAAGCGCCTTTTCCGTTGGAACTCCTGAGGCTTTCTTCAGAGCCGCTTTAGTCGACAAATCTTTCTGGGAGTCCATTAGACCTCGGATGATACGGAGGCGTCGTTATGTGGTTAATTTGATATAACTCACAAAATTCAAATTCTTCAGAAGTGAATTGTGTACCATTGTCACTCACAATACACTCTGGCACACCGAACCGTGCAAATAGTTCATGCAAAAGTTGTTGTGGTATTGGACGTAGGCTTTTACAGCGTAGTACTTCCGCCATTTTGTAAAACTATCCAGTAAAAATCTTCACTGGACCAGCGAAATTGTGTAATCTTGTCCACGGATGATCCGTCTTGGGCCATGGTTTGTGTACTATAGGTGGTGCCTTAGCTGCTAACGCACACCCTTTACATCGATGAACCATGTTTGGATATCCACATCAATTCCTTTCAATACACAAAGCTTCGCATTAAGCTTTTTGTTCTATTAATCCCCGGTGACCCATATGAAAGTCCCAAGTATTCTTTTTGCAACTTTTTGGTACTACTACTCTCTCACCATATAATAAAACTCCGTCACCTATTGAATAAATCTCCTGCACTTTTTGGTCATTTGCTACCATTTTGCTTTTTAATTTCTAAATGAAATCATCAGCTTTTTTTTAATTTCATTTAGCGTAACCGGTTAATGTTGTTTACCATGCTTTTCACCTCATAATCTGCTCTGATATTTGCAATGATAGTCTTGATAGACTATCCATGAATTATCTTTTTGGATGATAGGTGTTCATAATTGAGAAGAATGGTTCCCCATCTTAACAGACGATTTGCTGTATCCAACCAAAAATGGTGATCAGTGGTTTATGATCCGTTTCAAGGATAAAATCTGCCGTGGATGTACATGTGAAATTTTTTTTAGTATGGCAAAATGATACTCAGTGCCTTTTTTCTATCTGAGAGTAACTTCTTTCTCCTGGGAGCAAAGTTCTCAAGCGTGTGCATTGGTTTTCAGAACCATCTGGCATTATGTGTTGAATACACGCTCCTATCCCGTTTGAACTAGCGTCACTTGCCACTACAATATCCAGTTTTGGATTGTAATGGGTTAAAAAGAGGTTGCATTTTTCTTTATTTCATCAAAGGCTTTCTGACATTCTACCGTCCATTCCCATGCCTTGTCTTTTTTTAGCAGTTCATTCAACGGAGCTCTTAAATTGTACATTCCTTTAATGAACGCTTGATAATAATTTGCAAGCCCTAGAAAATTTGTAGCATCGCCACATTAGTGGGCGTCGGCATGTCTCTAATCGCAATGGACCTTTCCGGATCTGGACATCTGCCATTTTTGTTGATTATGTGCCCTAAATACTTAATTTCTCCAAACCAAATTCGCACTTTGACTCTTTGACTTTAAATCCAAAGTCCTGAATTTTTTAAATACTTGATTGAGATGCTCTCGATGTTTTGGTTCGCTCCTTACTATGATGTCGTCTAAGTAAGCGCACGCAAAGTCTAAATCATTCAGCATGACGTCCATAGCTTGTTGAAAAATGGCTGGTGCCACTTTAATACCAAAAGGACCAGTGGAAGCCTGTTGTACTTGAATAACCCTCTATGTGTTTTATCCTAGTAACTTCGTTCCGACGGGAATTTGAGATAGGCATCTGATAAGTCAATTTTTGAAAATATAACTCCACCATTTAGCTTGTTAAAAATCTCCTCCGACTCGTAACGGGTAATGGTAGTCCTTATGTCGAAAAAATCAACGCAGACTCTGACTTGGTTTGATTTCTTTTTGCATGCATTAGATTCTACTTTCGAAATAATTCCCATTTTTTCCAACCTATCAAGTTCTTCGTTAATTTTTTCTACACTGGCGAAAGGCACAGTACGCTTTTTTAAAATTGGCATAGTATTTTCCTTTAATTCGAATTTGGCAAACTTGTTACATCTTCCAAGACCAGGTGTGAAAGTTTCCGAAACTTTTTTTTAATTCCTCAATAATGTCCTGTCTTGTTTATGACATTTTACTTTTCTGCAGAAAGAGTTTAACGGTTTATCCCACAATTCGAATGTTTCAATAAAATCTGTACCCATCAAGTTTTCTCCATTTTTCAGAATGAAAACTTTTATTTTTTTAACTATCCTGTTCAATTTCATAGGAAGTACAACCTCGCCTTTCAATTTAATTTCCTTTCCAGTCACTGTTCGAGCGGCTTGTTGACTTCATTATTGTAGGCCTTTTTTAAAATTTTTCATGTTTTATAGTTCATTATTGTTAAATCTGAACCCGAATCAGAAATTTGATATTCTTTTTTAAATATTTCAGTCGTCACATACTTCCTCAAATCTCTATCTGATTTGATATTTGAATTTGTTTGTCTAATTTGAGGTCTTTTACAACACGACCCTTTGTGACCATTCTTGTGGCACAAAACATTTTTTATTTCTATATGGGCAATTTAACAGTGTTTCCGTTGCACTGTCTACAATTAAATGGCGGAACCATTTTTTTTTTTTTCCTCATTTTTTTCCATTTAATTTTTCTTGTTTATTTTTAAAATACGCCCAATTTTTTTTTCTGATGGGTATTTTAATATAAGTACCAGCTTCTTCAATTTTTTGAGACTTTTCTTTAAACTTTGACACTCCTCTAACTTTTGCAGGGTAAGGTTTTGTTCAGATTCGAGTTTAGACAAAACTCTACGCCTTATTTCGGCACTTTTACTGGATACCAGTCCTTGAGCAAAAATTAAACACTTGAATTCAAACAAATTGTCACAATGTCTATTCACTATAGATGGTTAAGTAATCCTGATCGTTTTAGGACATTCATGCATAACCATCGCTATGCCAAAGCGACATATTTTGCTCCAAACAACTCCTTTAGCAATTTTCACTGTTTCCTCCAATTCATTTGTTCTTCTCGGTAGAATAAAATCTAAAATTTGCTATGTTCTGCTGTACCTAGCTTTCTTAGTAATAGACTATTTTTTTGAATTCGACCAGTTTTCACAGTCTGTGTGGAAAATATCTTCATATCGCTTAAAACGCTTCAAACGTTTTTCCTTCGATAGTTGAAAGTTTCAACGAATTAAATATGATGTTATTAGAATATGAAGAGTTACTTTCATTTACCTGAACGTTGTTTAATTTCTCCAATGTTAACTTTTGAATTTCCAAAACCTTTGACATACATTTCTTCCTGTTCCCTTTGACGTTGCTGACTCAACTCCTCTTGCCTTTCTTGATAATTCTGCTGTGCTAATTGTTGTTCTTTAATAAGGCAACCTGTTCACTTTGTTGTTGCAGACTCAACTGCTGGGATTTGAATAATTCAGCTTGACTCAACTGCTGGGCTTTAAACAATTCAGCTATGACTTTGATAATTCCTCCATTTTTAACTGATAGTGTTCATTGAATATACTTTAAATTGTGTATCCACGAATATACTATAAGCAGACAAAACAAAATTGAAACAAATACGCCTTTTTTTAATTTTATTCATAAAATATTGTTGAGCAAACAAACAACAAAAAATAATAAATTTTTTTTTTTTTTTTTTAGTTCGCTACCTTTCAAAGTGATGATGATTTGTGCTATTTTTTTCCAAATGTTTTTTTTTTTTTTAGTCGGCCAGCATTTTTTTTTTTTTTTAGTCGGCCAATTTTTTTTTTTTTTTCGCTAATTTGTTTACGCCACCTTCCAGATTTTTCTGAGTGTAATTTTTTTAGTCGTCCTTAACTAGTTTTTTAACTGTCCAAACTTCAGAATACTTTTCCGTTCCATTAGATGTTCGACTTTAATTAATGATTTTTTTTTTTTTTTCCAGCCTGGGTTCTTCCACTTGTCCCAATTATTGAAGGCTATCAATTATTAATTTTTTTTTTTTTTCAAACGTAAAGTTTTTATACCTCGTCGCCATTGTTGAAGCTTAAATAAGCATGGAATAATACAACACAAAATGTAAACAAAATGTATTGAAACAAAGAATAGGTACACAATATTTACAGTTTTTGGTATATTCTTGGGAAGACTGTTCTTTAATGGGTTGACTAAATCTCGGAGTCTCTGGATTCAATTTCTTAATCTCTACTATCTTTTTCCGGTAAATATTTATATGGTTTGTAGTCCGCTTATGTAAATTAGGTGTATTCAAACACAGATGTCCCCTACAATTACAAAAGTCGAGAGGATGATGATGAACTATTTTTTAAATAATGAATGGGTTTATTTTTTAATGCTAAAAATTAAGTTTTTTTTTAAAGACATGCGTCCCTCCCTTTGGGAGGTTTAGAAGTCTATAACTGTTAGATTTGTCTTTATATCTCGGATGTAAACATACTTTTTAAATAATTCACTTATTGAATTCAAACTGACTTGTAGGTCATACCTCTTTAAATTTTGAGAAGAGGGAACCTCAATATCCCCAGGGTAAAAGGAACCAGCAAGCCATTGCACTATTCTGCCTTGAATGTCACCATGAGAAACAATTGTGAGATGGAGGGAGGTGGTGACCATAGCAGTAGAATAGATATGGTGGTATCAAAGATTTCTTGAATCAAGTTTGCTGCCATATCTGGTCTGGTGCTCCAACTATATATCTCAAGATTCTTGAAAAAAATCCAAAGAAGGGTCTGTAATGTTATTGGTTCAATGGAATAAATGACTATGATGAATATCATTTTATTTTTTAATTTTCTTTATTTTCATTTTTAAATGAGTTAAATTTCCTTAACATACCACAAATATATGAAGAACTATAGAATATATATTTATATATATTTAGAAACAAAAATTTTATCAAAAATATTCTGATTATTTTACATATATACATATACACACACACACACACACACACACACACACACACACACACACATATATATATATATATATATATATATATAGTTTCATTGAATCCCTTTCTCAGATGTCTTTTTTTTTTCTTTCCTTCTTCCCAATTGCAGGAATCAAATAGCATCCGATCTTGGAAGCGGCGTTGGTGTGTCCATGCTGACTATGGTCTTTTCTTTTACAGAGGTTTGTCTAATGTTTATTTTTTTCTAACAATGCTTTGTGGTTAAAGAATTGGTCTGGCGATGACAAGAGTTATGATTTGATGCCCACATCTTTGAAAGATGGGCCTCATTTGTGCGAATGGGGGGAAAATTGATCAAAATTTCAGTAAAGAGACTTTGTTGGTGTTCTTAAATTGATTTTGTAATATGCTCCAAAAATAATGTATTACATATTTGGAAAGGCATGTATCACAAAAAGGCCTTTTCAATATTTTATGGTAAACAATCGAAATTAAGGGTTATTATTTTATTATTGTCAATTGTATTATTAGTATTATTTTGCTCTTATATTATTAGTTATGTTATTAGTTTAATATTGTTAATTATTATACAGGTGAATGCAAAAGTAGGTATACAGTAATGAAAAATAAAACATGCACAAACCGTATTGTTTATACAACATATCAATAATAAACTATATGAATTGCTCAAATGTTCAAACTGTTTGGCCCCATCATTAACACACTCCTTTTTACCTACAAAACATTTATTATTATTATTATTATTATTATCATTATTATTTATAAAAAAATAAGAATTATAATAAATGAATCTTAAATTAAATGAACCACTTTTATAATACTTTTGTAATACTGATATAATGCTTCAGTCAGTTATGTGCCATGCATAATACACGTTTAGGTGATCATGTATCTTTCGATACATGACTGACAAGGCAGATTTTTTTCTCACCTTTCTGAAGTTGACAAGTTGCCATCCAAGGCTATAGAACTCAGTCTGTTCTGCTATTTACCATAGCTTTGGGTGAGAAGAAGACTTGTATTATTATTATTGATTATTGTAATATTAGTTAATATATCATTATTATTAGTTATTATTATATTATTAGATATTATTTATCAGTTATTAGAGGTGTCACTGGCTTGGCATATTTAAGAAAATTATTTATTTTTAAAAATTTACTTTATCTTAATTGTTTTTTTAATTTTATTTATTTTAAAAAATTTTCTTAATTTGTACTAAAAAAGAAATTATTGTAACTGTGTGTGTGTGTGTGTGTGTGCGCGTCCATATGTGTGTATAATGAAGGCGAATAGTTGAAGGTCAATGACTAAGAAGGAAAAAAAAGATCTAATAAACAGCCATGCAGGTTGTTGGGATAATATCATGTTTCTGAAATCCTTGTCCCATAATGTTTGATACATTTAGTGAATGAAATGTGTCTGAAAATGTAACAACTATTGTGGGACAATATTAATTTTAAGATCTAGAGAAATACTGTCAGTCTAGTCCTTTTTTTATTTATTTATTTTTTTTTTATGTTTATGACTAATCCTTTGTCTGGGTTGGCTATAAAAATATGATCATCTGTACCTATCTTTATTTAAATTTAGAAAATTTATTTGCTTTCTTTTTTCTGTAGTTATAGACGTGTGAACCTATTCGTACATGTCTTGTCAATAAGTCTGAAAGCAACTTTGTAAATACTTGTTGATCTTGTTATTCTATCTCCCACCATTTCTTTCTGCTGTTGAAGTGTTTTTTGACAAGTGCCTCACGGTATTTTGTTCTAAGTCAGGTTAAAACAGATCCTGCTAGTAGATAGCATAAAGAGAAATGTGTGTAAAGAACTATAATGTTTAAAGCAGATTTGGAGACCCGTTTAAATTAACTATTTGTCTTCTAACAAATTTCAACAGTGTCAAATAAAGGAATTAAAAAAAAAATGAGTTAAGTAATGATATTAGTAACTAGCAGGGATGTAACAGTAAGAGATAGATCAAGTATTGACCATCATAAAGACTGAAAAATAAAATTGACTGAGATTATTGTTTAAGGTTGACGGACATGCATGTCTTAATTAGCTTTTTTTTCTTTTTTTTTTTTTTTTTCTTTTTAACGAATTGGTCAAACTCAAACAAAAACATTGTTTTCAATCATTATGAGTCTACTGATTGAATAGAATTTTTCAATTTTATTATAAACAATTGTCTTGTAAATGGAATTTTTAAAGCATTCTGAATGCAAAAATAAAGAAAAATGTGTGCAAGACAATAAGAAACACTACCTGCCAAAAAAAAGTGAAGTTTTGTTGAAATCTGTTGAAAAATGTAGGAAATCCGATCCCATATATATACGAACACACACACACACACACACACACACACACACACAACCAACCTGGGTTTTATAAGTATAACTTGATATGAGTTGTCCCCCTTTCATTAATGCCTCTTAATCGTGTTTTCAAATTGATTTTGTGCAAAAACAATTGTTTTTCTCATTTTTGGTGCTGTCAGAACCACCGCAAAGTAATTTTACGTAGTCCTGTGAAGTTTTGTTGAAATCGGTTGAAAAATGTAGGAAATCCGATCCAATATATAAACGAACAGACACACGCACACACACACACATAACCTGGGTTTTATAATAAGTATGATTACAGTATTTTTTTTCTTTTTAATAATTTCACCTCAAGTAAGGCACTGAGACACAAGGGGGTTACTGGTGTTAATTAATCCTGCAACACCTTTCACTTTTTGTTAGTGTTTCTATCTAAATATGTTTTTTCTCATAGTAATGAGGAGAAAGGACAATAAAAGAACAGGGTTCAAGAAGACAGAAAATTACGACTGATGCTGCATTTAAATTCTTGAAGATTTTCTGTGGCAGTCCGAACAATGTAAATAGTGTAAATTGTCACAATACTCAGAAATATAGACTAACAGTATTGACATAGTGCACAAGAAAAGAAGAGGGCAAAAATAATATTGAGCAAACAAGACAGTCAATGACGAAATTATTCATACACCTATCAATTTTGAATGTTTTTATCCATTTCTCAGAATCTAATGCCCTTATGATATCAAGTTTTTTTTTATAGGTTAATAAGCACAAAATAAGGAATATAAAACTCAATTTTCAGAACAATAAGTCAAATACAACAAATTTGACTAGCGAATTATGCAAAATAGGAAAAGACAAAATTATTCGTACAGTAGAAAATACTGTTTTAAATTGATTCGTGTAAGTATAAGTAATTTGCATAATTACTTTATTGATGAAGCCTTCTAGACTGTTTATTCGTTGACTGTATATGCAAGTCAAAGCAATAGTAATAAGGCAAAAAGTTCACAAAAGGGATACAGAAAAAAAAGTTAACACACAAAAGGGATACAGAACTGATTTCAAGATGTGAAAGAACAGACCACTTATGGGTCTCATCTGACTTTGTTCTATCTTATTGGTTAGGAAGAAATCCCAGCATGCATTTGTATGTCTTGTCTATAAATTTTCTTTTGGTGGGGGGCTTGTTTTGCAATCATTCCTATATTGGATTGGAACCAACAGTTTTAATAATTTTGTTTGTCTTCAGATCCAACTGAGCAGCAATGCGTAGGTTCCATCTTGCTGCCAAGTTATACAATCCGGCCATGTGATGCAAGTGATCCAGTCAACAAAAGATACGCCTTTAAGGTTTGAACTGTTTTATTCTGCTTCTGTTTAATCTATTCATAAATTAGAAGTACAGAAAATAGTCTTTTTGGAATTGAATTATCTTCAGGATGTGGTCATGCATTTTTTTTTTTGTTTTTTTTTTTTAATAGATGTCTGTTGGTGTTTATTTTGACTTTACAAACATTGAATTAATCTTTTTCTTTATTTCTTTTTCCCATCCTTCCCAAAATAGAGGAATTTTTTTCTGAACTGCCAACATCAATTTTGTTGCTTAAAAACATTGACTACTAGATGTCAATTATGAAATCTAACCTCAAATGCCAACTTTATAATAACCAACTAAATCAATAAAAACATTTTTATGACTTGATTTATAGCTTCAACTGAAGACTTAACATTGTTATTTACACCATTTACATTCAGACTATTGTCCTCATCTTTGTTGTTGTTATGACATTTCGGCTGTTGTGCCCTCTGGTCTTCATCAGCTGCAAATGATTATGATAGCAAAAGCAAAGATGAGGACAATAGTCTTAATGTAAATAATACAAATTATGAATGTTATGTTTAACTTTGCTTAGGGATGAAATAAACCAAGGAATTATTTACATACAGACTGTTATTCATTTTTGTTGTTTCTATCACTGTTCTCGTTCCACTGTCCATCTCTAGGAATATATTGTTTTGTTCTTATTTTTTTAATACTGACCAGCTATTGTCCACCATGTTTCTACTGAGTCCAAGTGTGTCATTGAACTTGGTGTAAATAAGCTTGTTATTGGCACCTGCAGATGAAAATGTGTCAGAAAATGCCAAGCATGAGATAACATGGGGTCTGTGTCATAATAAAAACTGTTAATCGTGAGTAAAATCATTGTTAGCATTCAATGTGTTAAAGCTTTTTACAAATTAATTTAAAAATTGTTTTATTGATTTATGAAGAGCAATGTGATTAATACATCTGGATCTGCGATAGCTGAACACTTAAGTAATATCTACATCCCTTCTTTTGTATCATCCTGGGTATGATGTAGGTGGTGACCTATGATGCCTGGGGACGGAGTCCTGGTGACTGAGTGACTCCTGATCCGGTATAAAATAACCAGGAGGGTCCACGGCACGTCACTTTGGTCCTTACCTGGGATAGATGGGTGGATGAAATAGCCCAATTGATTCCAATCGGCTAGTCACATAGTGGCAAGGGCTAGTTGGGAGGATAGATAATGACTCCAACATGGCTGTGAATCTTTACACGATGCTATACTTGGGTAGATATGGTCGGGGAATGTGGGTGCTTGTATCCACTTTCATCAGAACTATACCGTCTGTGTAGCCCTGGCGGATCAGGGTGAATGGGATTAGTCCCCACCACTTATAGTGTCCTTTAAGAAGGAACTTTGAGGTGGATAGTGAATATGAAAATCGAAATTATATGGCTATATCTTATAAATGAACCAAGAAACAGCATGAGACTTCTAAAACAGAAAGCGAAAACCAAATATCAGAAAAAAACAATTTCCAACTTTCATAGTTATAGATAGTGAAATATCAAAAGTGTCTCCTTTTGTCTTGCAAAGGGTTATATCAGCCATGATTGAACCACCTCTTAATTGCTGTTGTTCCCAAGTCCACTTTGACCTGTGGTGGTAGCAACTGTTAGGGTCCCAGCTATGAACAAATAGTGAACCCCAAACAAAAATAAAACATTAAAAGTATAAAATACTTTCTTATAGTAAAAATACCAGCAATACAGTTTTATATAAAAGATTACCAACAATACATTTTTTGTAGCAAAATGACCAACAGTATATTTTAATTGTAACTGAAAGTATACAACTGTGTTCAAAATATTTAGATTTCAGCATTAAATGACCTATAGAGGTTGACATAAATAAAATCAATCAACCAACCAACATAAAGGTTATAGTCGAAATAGTGATGATATATGAAATGTGTGATATGAATAAAAGAAAAGCAGTAGGTGTTTTATTGATTCATTCATTTTTTACAGTTTATCAAACTTTGGCAGGTTATTTAAAGCCAGAAAGGTGGTGGGGGAGATAAATAAGGGTGATTTGCTTTGCTGGAAGTAGCATGCAGTGCAGGAGCCATAAAGATCTGATATTATAACTCTATTTGGCATCAGCCTTCTTTGTATTTTAATCATCATGCACACTTACCTATGTTTCTGAGTTGAAGTATTGTAATTATTTATACTATTTACATTGTTTGGACTATTGTACTCTTCTTTGTTATCATATTCACATTTCAGATGTTTACAAACCTTTCTTTTTTTTGTTTTTTGAACTTTTTTTAAAACTTTCTCTTTCTTTTTGTTTTACAAACTTTTCTCTTTTTTTTTGTTTACAAACCTTTCTCTCTTTTTTGTTTACAAACCTTTCTCTCTTTTTTGTTTACAAACCTTTCTCTCTTTTTTGTTTACAAACCTTTCTCTCTTTTTTGTTTACAAACCTTTCTCTCTTTTTTGTTTACAAACCTTTCTCTCTTTTTTTTTTTTTTTCAATGACAAACCTTTCTCTTTTTTTTTTTTTAATGACAAACCTTTCTCTCTTTTATATTTACAAACCTTTCTTTGATTACTTTTTGTTTACAAACCTTTATCTCTTTTTGTTTACAAACCTTTCTCTTTTTTTGTTTACAAACTTTCTTCTCTTTTTTGTTTACAAACCTTTAAAAGAGTCTTTTTTTGTTTACAAAACCTTTCTCTCTTTTTAAGTTTATGAAACCTTTTTTTTTTTTGTTTATAAACAGAGAACATCTTTTTTTATGAAAACTTTACAAAAACCTTTTCTAGTTTGTTTACAAACCTTTCTCTTTTTTGTTTACAAACCAGTAATCTCTTTTTGTTTAAAACCTTTCTCTTTTTTGTTTACAAACCTTTTTCTCTTTTTTTGTTGCAAACCTTTCTTTTTTTTTTTTTTTCCAATGACAAACCTTTCTTTTTTTTTTTTCCAATGACAAACCCCAAAGAGTTTTTTCAATGACAAAACTTTCTTTTTTTTTTTTTTTTTCAAACAAACCTTTTTTTTTTTTTTTTCAATGAACAAACCTTTCTTTTTTTTTTTTCACTGACAAACCTTTCTTTTTTTTTTTTTTTTTTCCAATGACAAACCTTAATCTTTTTTTTTTTTTTTTTTTTTTTTTTCACTTTGTTTTATTATTTTTAACAAAGTTTCCTTTTTCATTACAGGCTGAGCATGCCAATTTGAGAACTCAATATTTCTTTGCTGAAAGTAGAGAAAACATGGATGAATGGGTGAAGGTGCTGAGTCAGTCTGCTCAGATGTTAAATTCGGAACCTGGTCTGGACAACTTCTCTGGCCCCCAAAGGTTTCTATTATTTAAGTTCATTTATTTGTGAGGAACAAAAATGTATATTCATTATTAGCATAAATTCTAACTCTGTTATTATACATCAAGCACTGTTTTATTAACACCAGCACTCAATATTTATTTATATATATATATATATATATATATATATAGTTAAGTAATGAAAATCTTGCTAATCTGTACAGATAATCCCAAGGAAGATGACATCCAGAGAGCTCTATGTTAAATCAGAGTGATTAATTCAATGAAAACAGACAACTTTAAGGGTCCATTGGTTATAATTTATTTCCCCAGGGAATTTCTTTTTCCTTAACTCACTAGACCACACTTCCAAAGGTGAAAAAATTAATTTAAATTTGCATATAGTTTTAAGATGTAGTTTTAAGTTGATGTAAGGCGATATAGAGAGTGGGGAGTGAGAGTGTGACAGACATGGTCAAAATTAGAGAGGGAAGGGAGAAATAGGAATGGTTTTAAATTTATTTTTTATTACAATACTTAATAGTGGGGATAAGGATGAGACATTGACCTATTTAACAGGTCATCTCACAGGAAATGATATAGAGAGAAAAAAGGGAAGTAAAGATGTAAGAAATCAGAAGTGGAATTAGGGGTTTAAGAAAAAAAGAAATAGAGATTTGGGACGGAAAGGAAAATTAAGAGAATTAATGTATCTGGGCATATTACGGCTAATTTGGAAAAATTCAGATTTATATATTTTGCCGTTAACATTTGACAGTAAGTTAAGCATTTTAATTTTTCAACAAATTAAACTAGGAAATAAATATAATTTGAATATAAGATCAATAAACAAAAATATTACTATTATTAATTTTCTTAATATTGTGAATAACAGTTAAGGAGTAATATTTCCTAATTAAAGTCTAAGTCTTCAAATCTAATTTGAAAAATATTTTGAAATGAAACAAGATTTAAAGGTAAATAAAATAAAAATTTTATATTTATATTTATATATATATATATATATATATATATATATATACACACACACACACACACACACACAAGTATAGGATTGGTGTATACGGAATAAATTCCAATAACCAACAATTACTATTCTTAAAAGAGTGCTCAATACATAGTAAAGCAGATATAATTATTTATTTAAAAATTATAACATAAATGTTATAAAATGTCATTTTATAACATTTATGTTATAAACATTATATATTTATAACATATTTATTAACATTATATATTTGTTATAAAATGTGATTTTATAACATATTTATGTTATAATTTTTAAATAAATAATTATATATATATATATATATATATATATATATATATATATATATATATATATATATATATGTTCAATTCAATTCAATGTGGTGTAATGTTTAACAAGTTTGTCTTGCTAAATCAATTATTACTGAGTAGTGAGTTGAAACCACACAAGGTACTCTGAACATTATATATATACGTTATAAATATATATAATATACAACACTGATAGCACAACTCGAGTTTAATTCAGTTTTGCAATTTTTTGTATGAAACTCAGTTGTGCTATCAATACTGAATGTTATGTATATTCACTAAGCTATACGTAGAGCTCTGTCACATAACACTGAGCACTGTATTTATAACACCTGAGGAAGAAATATATTTATACGTACGTGTATGTATATTTTTTTATTTTTTATCATACCCATGCCTATATATATATATATATATATATATGAGACATTATGCTGAATGAAATTTTTTATGCATTTGTTAAATAAAACCTATCCACTATATATGCGATCATTAGTGAAAAAAAGATTATGGCCACACCATTTTGAAATACCAGTTCCCATCAGAACACTAAAATTAAGCAATGTCAAGCCTGGTCAGAACCTAGAAGGGTGACCATTTGGGAATACCAGCTTGCTTATATACTTGCTGTAATGGATAATGGCTCAGAATAAGAAATCGGAGTGCTGAGTTTAGTTCCAATTTCAGTCGGGTTCATTGCATTCACTCACGTGCAAATACCCTTTGGAAAGGTATGTATCCACGTCTTCTCCACCCCATTTATGGTTTAAATAGAACTTTTATCTGAAAATATGTATTGTCTACAAATATTGTTAATACAATATTCACTCGTTTAAAAAAACAAAAAAAAAAAAACTTACAGTTCAAAAATTTTTTAGTTTTAGATAAACTACAAAGGGTTGATAAGCCATAAAAGCAATCATTTAGTGAAAGTTTGTTTTGAAGTACAAGATGTATCAGGTAACTGATAACAAATTGTTATATGAAAATGTTTAATAGAAAAATATAATTAGTCTATTTTCCAAAAGATTTATTGTATTTTATTTAAACTGCCTTAAGGCACAAGGACAGCTCCATTGGAGCCTCTAAAGCAATGACACGACCAAATTAGGGGTTTCTAAGGCATGTCAGCTTTCATGCACTTCAATGAATCCTTGATATTTTGAGTCTGTTGGTTGGTTTCCCTCTTGCCAATACCCTGCCTGGGGGATTCAATGAGCCCAGTGTCTACATACTGAGGTGGGGTGACTCATGAAAATTTCTACTCCACAACTCTTGCTCCATTTGTTTCCTGTGTGAGGGAGTACAGTTCAGCTTGTGTGTGTGTGTGTGTGTGTGTTTGTCCAAATCTATTGATGCATGGCTGGGCCACCAGGTCTAGCATTTCAAAGTAGGTGGTCGGAGTAGTACCAAGGACCTGAATGAAAGAATACTGGAGCACGGCATAACATCATAGTGCAGCAAATTATTGTACAAACATGTAGCAGCAAGGCAAGCATAATACCGACATATTTAAATAACCTGGATGTATAAGTCAAAACAATTTCGCACTGCATTGGTTATATCTAAGTAACTGTCTTTTGGCCACATCACGTTGAAACACCATTTCCTGTACAATCACTGAAATTAAGCAACATTGAGTTTGGTCAGTACCAAGGTGAGTCACCACTTGAGAATATCAGGTGCTGTAAGCTTGGATGTATGGGTGGTGTAATGGATAATGGCTTGGAATTGTGAATTGAAGAACCAAGTTTCAATCCCAATTGGGTTCGTTATATTCACTTATATACAAATACCTTTTGGGAATGGTATGAATTCATCTCTTCTACCCCTAGCCATGGCTTAATTGGTAAAATTTGTATCACTACAACCATTATTATCTCCAAAAATAAAAAAATAAAATTGTGTAAAAATATTTACATTTCAGCATTAAATAACCCATAGAGCTGTTGATATACTGCTAAACTAAAACAAACAACCAACATATAAGTATATGCCAAATATTTAGTTCAACTGTTTGTATTGTCATTAAATTAACAATTTAAATATATTTTTTGTTTATTTTAGACCAGCAAGTCCAGAAAATGGAAACGAATACTACGTGCTTGCAAGAGATGCGGCTCAAAACGGAGAGTTACGATACCAGCGGACAACGTTACCTAAAGAAGAAACGCCACCTGAATATTATCCCATTGATAGACCCTCATCAGTATCTTCCAAGGAATATTCCCCTTACAGTAACATCCCAAGTTCTGAATATTCCTACAGAAATTCCTATTCACCAAATCACACATCTATGCAACCTGGTTCTCCCCGTTTCTTTCATAGTCAGCAAAATGCTTCTTTTGGAGAAGAAACTCCCAATCGAAATTCGTATTCTTCAGTTGGCTCTCCTTATGATCAGAGACGTGACTATAGCTATAAGTCTGCAAAACCACCAGAAAGAAACCCTGGCTCCTCGCCTCGGCCTTCACCTCATCGGCAGTCTGTATCTTCATCAATCAGTCCTTATCCTGATGTTACATCAAATTACAATGTGGCTTATTCATCTTTAGATTTCAATGCAATGTATCATAATGAACATTTAGAAGGGCATCCTTCACCTCCTGGTTCTTACCAGTCTATCGGCTCGCCGCAATCATTAGATAGTAATAGCATGACAGTTCCCAAAACTATAGAGGCGGGATTCTATAGTGCCCCACCTCCTTCCCAGAATGCTCTTTCTCACTATTCATTGAACAGTCCTAATTCCCCTGACTCCTACCGAAATCACAAGAACTATTCGCCATTGGAAAGGGGTCCAGATAGGGACTCTTATTCCTCCAGAGGAGACCTTAACCATAGCCAGTTGTCATATGAAATGTACTCGCATAATGACAGTCATGGCCGAGATTCGCTAAATTTTGATCTAAGTCAAGATAACTTTGTAACAAACCACTCTGATATTGCAGCCCCTTTCTCAAAACGATTGTCTGGCGCACAAACCAATCTGTCCAAGTTAGCGGTAGATAGCGACAATGGTGACCAGAGATCTGTAGATACAGAATCACACCAGGAATATGCTACCATATGTCGTATACGGTCAGAAAGCATGTGCACATCACCTGAAATTGTGCGTAGTCGGCCAGCATCTATTTCTGCTTCACAGCATGGATCTGAGGCTGATGTCCCAAAACGGACTTCCATACAGCGACTGCAAGAGATGCACCTGCGAGAACTGCAAAGGCATTCACCTTTGTCAAGAAGTTTTTCCTCGGGCAATGTGCCAAACTATCACAGCATTTCCCAAACACTTTCTCAGAAGGAAGACGAAGAGGAAGATTTAGGAGAAACAAAGTACTGTGAGGACAATCGCACACAGGAAGATCTCTTCTTTAAACGTAATTCTACATCCTCGCAGCCACAGCCAGAATACCAATCTGTAATTCGGAGTTTATCCCCAGCATCTGAGCTGCAAAATCAGATTGTGTATGATTATCAAGGGATGGGTCATGATTCCACATTGCCGACTCATTCATCTCAGGGATTGTCTGTGAAACCGCAGAAATATCCCAGCAACATTGACTTGGGTCGAAATAGCAAGCCTAATAGTAACTATATGAATGTTAACAACAGACATTCATATTCGGATTTTGTTAATAAGGCTGACAGTTTAGAGTTAATATCAGCAGATACAGCAAAAGATTTATACAGTATGGATTACAAAGGACACTCTCAATCTTTTGAGAGAAATGGCCGCCCTGTAAGTTTATGCATTTGAGATTTTATATTAATACAATGGCATAATATATATATATATATATATGCTGGTGTACAAGGTGACTGGGCATATAAGATGGCACCTAAATTTTCAAGTTAATATCTAGGTTTTGTGCTATATTCACCATACAAGACAACAAAAATCGTATTTTAAAATGCATTATATTGAATTCATTGAATAAATTCAGTAAGCATTTGCTTTTGTTTTACTCAAAATCTAATGATAAAATGGTGGGGTGATATTGTCGATTAATTACTACAATCTACAATTTACCTCATGAATGTGTGCTGTGTTTTTTGGTGGGCTATTACAGTAGCCTGAATGACTTTTCCCCCGTTAACCACCCACTTGTTCCACTGTTCTTGATTGTGATTTTTAAACAGCTTGTTGAAACACACCTCCCATGCTAACAACTTGATATGAACCACAGAATTCAAGGTTTACATTTATACTTGAGGTATGATGCCCCCTTCTATTTTGGGAGGAATTCTTAAGATTAAAAAGGTCACCTTGTATGCCAACATATACAGTGTCTGTATATATATATATATATATATATATTATATATATATATATTATATATTATATATATATATATATATATATATATATATATAATCTCTGAATAAAGACAAAAGTAAACTTTTCTTTACCACTGCATTTTGTCCTCTGAACAGACTTTATCAAGACAAATTCCTTATCACTATAAACAAATTTCTTTGCCTTGATAAATTCCATCAGAAGACGAAACATTTGGATAAAGGAAGGTTTCCAGTTTGTCTTTATTTATATTGTCATTTTACATATATATATATTTATTTACTGTTGAATTTTTTATGCACACACACACACACACACACACACACACACACATATATATATTAAGAAATGGACAAAGTCCGACAATTTATTTATTAAAGACATTTTTATGTTTAACGTTCTTTTTATAGATACAAGTATTTAAGTAAACGCTTATTATAAACAGAGCATTTACTTAAATACTTGTATCTATAAAAAGAACGTTAAACATACACACACGTATATATATATATATATATATATATCAGATTGTGTATTTGGGCAGCAACTCCTCTTTTATACAAGTTTCATTAAAAATCACTAACAAGGTAGTTTGGTTAATTTTTAAAAAAATTTTGTTGTGTTCTTATAATTTTCTTCTTTTCTGGGCTAAATTATGTGTAAATTGTCCAAATGTTCTGAATGCTGTTGAACAATTTCTACATAAGTTATGCCCAGAACAAGAAAATTATAAGAACATAAGAAAATATATATATATATATATATATATATATATATATATATAAAAATAAAATTTAATGGTCACAGTTGAATTAGACCAAGAAACAGTAGTATTAAAAAGTGCTCAGTATACATATAAAAAAATAAAAAATTAAATTTAACATGTAGAGCTTTTAAGTATAAATATAAGGAGGTCAGCTGATTCTACTACCTTGGTTTCAACCTTTCAGTATCTTCAGGTGATTTTAAAAAAAAATTTAATGAACGCTTATTATTTAAAAATATTGCATACACACTAAAAAGTTCATTTAAAATAATATATATATATATATATATATATATATATATATATATATATATATATATATTTTTTTTTTTTTTTTTTTTTTTTTTTTTTTATAACCTTTGACTGTTTCAATTGTCAGGGGTTCCTGAGGATAAGATACAGATTTTGATTCTTCTTCCTCGTGATAATTTCATTGAATTTTCAGATAGCTTGACAGTGACTATCTCCTCTCCCAGTTATTGACCAATAGACAAAGACCACAGAACATGGTGTGGGTTCCCCTCAGTCTGTACACTAGACTTCAAATTTTGAATCCAGAATTGACCATCTCCTACACCAGTTGCCACCCAAGAAAGAATATTTTTTTTTTTTATGTGACATTATTTCTTATTACTATAAATGTTATTCTTAGCAGGTACACATGTTTGAGTTACTATCCTCGATTCTTGATTTTTTTTAAACAGACAAATTAATAACAACCAAACTATATTAAAATATCTCACTGAAGAAAAACTGTGCCTCCAACTTTTTTAGCCAAAGCGTGCGCTCCTAGTTTGCTGACGGAGATCAGCCTGACAGATGAAGGTTTTTAATTTCCTATTTAAGGAAGGTACATTTCTCATTGAGACTTCTACAAATCTATATCTGCTAGATTCAGTTTTGTAGCTGAAGCATAAACAACAGTAAGTTTTGAATGGATTTTCAGTTAAACATAAGATTTCCCTGGTTGGAAAAAAAAAAAAAAGGGGATCCAGATTCAATTCCTATCAGTCACAGTTTTTTGTTATTAAGACTTCTCAGTCTAAGCTGGTTGTTATTCATTTCCCTTTTTAAGATAATAAAGATACAGGGGTAGTAACACTAAAAATGTTTATAGTAATAACAAATATAATCAATAATATATTTAACAGTCGCACAACCTGAGCTCAATTAATTACAAATGAGATATTCCATAGTTATCCTAATAGTTGACATTATTCAACTCCAACAAGCAAACATGCCTACCTTTATGATATGTCCTGGAAAGGGATATATTTGATCGAAGTAGCAAAGTAGTTGTTGACTACTGTAACCAGGTAGGACAATCTAGCAGGTAACTGTAATGAACTGGTCCTCGTCGTAGTGGTAGGCAATAGGCGAAGACAATAGGCGTTGTCAATAGGTGTCCTCCCTGTACCTCCACATCAGTCTGTATTTATGGCTGACACCAGCCGATCATATTACTGTGAGGGGGAACCCAGGTGTATGCATATTCATTACATCACTTTACAACGGAATGTCTCATTTGTAAGTCATGAAAACAGGTGTCTAATGCATTGGCTTTTGTTTTGTGTCAACTTTATTTTATTATTTTTACTCAGTTAAGTGGTGTTGAGTTCCTAGATGGTAATTGTAATATAAGCCATTTCCCTGCAAGGAAACATTTGGTATTCATTGACTGAGCAGCCAGTACTGTTTTAGATTGAAGTTTATAAAATCTTAAACACTTTTTTAAGAAAACAGATTTCTCAAGTCCAGAAACATTTATTGCTCTTTCCAGTATTGATGGCAATTTTCTTCCTAACCTTCTATTTGATGTAGTGTAGAATGTTAATGTCTTGATTATGCCATTATTTTCTCAAGTTGCATGTGCTATCCATTTTATTTGTTGCTACTGTTGGTAGTCCTCAAGTGATGTGGTTTCCGTTATTTGATACAGTTCTTTGTTTGTAGACTGGCACTACAGATTCACAATGTTCAAATGTGCCAATATTATCAAGCTTTACTCACTTAAAGCCTCTTTTTCACCATTTATCTTTGTGATCTGTTTTGGAGCCCAGGTACTGTAAACAACCTCTGACAATGTGAAATATGTTTTGGCTTTAAATACCCCCCGACTCCCAAAGAGTTGATAAACTGATTTTTAATATTTTTACTTAGTAGTAAGAAAAATAATACAACAAAAAAGTGAAATTTCAGAGAATTTAATATATTTTTCAATCCGACAGAACTTCTGCCAAAAAAAAAAAGCACTTAGTAGATAACTAGAGCTATAATAGTCAATAAAACGAAAAGTTCTGTTGACCTATCTGATTGACAAACTCAAAAGTTTGACATTGAAATGCTCAACTTCTGAATTTGTATATATTTTTGAGTATTGATAAAATTGCTTAAGATAAACAAATTTTAATGCACTTTCATTATTTTGACTTCATGTATGACGGAAAGTCAAAAATTATTCACAATTTTGCCATAAAATATCTTTATATAAGAGTGTGGATAATTTTTGATTTTTTTCCTCGTATTTAAAATGAAAATTATTTTGTTAGCAATCCAGCACACTTTTCTTTATTTTCTATGTGAGATTCATCCTCTTATATAGTAGTGAATGCTGGACAATCTCTGCATGGATGAGGAAATGTGGTTCTACAGATGGATACTGAGAATTCCTTGAATGAAGCAAGTAAAAAACAAGAAGGTCTTAAAGAAAATGGCTAAAAATACAATACTCAGAACTAGGAAGAGGTATTTGAAATTCCTTGGACGCATAATGAAGGAGGAGGGCTTGGAAAACGTAACCCTCACGGATGACATTGAGGGCAAGAATGGGTAGAGGAAGACAGCAAGCCACCTACCTGACAAGTTTGTGTGAATGGATGTCGGGAGAACAACTGATAAAGGTCATGAAGGATAGAAAGTTTTGGAGAGCCATGAACACTCATATCCATAAGGGACTCAGCACATCAGAGAAGAGGAATCCTTATATTAATCTCCCTAGTTTAGTCTCTTTGTTTAGCTAAATATTTTGTAGACTGCCCTAAAAACATTTTTAAGGACCTATAGCATCTAAACTATTAGAACAAAGTTAGAATGTAGCCCAAACTAGTTTAATTGCATAGAAAATTTTAGGGGATTAAAACTTTAAGCTTCATATTTTCTTAAGTATCAAATTTATAAGGAGTCAAAATTGAAAAAAAAACATGATTTTAGCATGACAAGTTGTTTTAGTAAAACATGTTTAGCCCTAAGCTGAAGTTTGTTCGCAAAACAAAACTTCTGTCACATGGTCTTCTGATATGTAAAAATATGTGACAGAAATATAAACCTTTCCATAAAACTTCCTAACTTGTCTGCTGATATCATAAAACTAGACAATTTTAAGGTTGTTAAAAAATTAAGCAATTTTCAAACAGTAATACTGACATTCCTATAACAAGGATAAATATGGTTACTGCATAGAAATAGCCTATTATGTCGTAAATGACAGGAAAACTAATTTGGATGCTATATTTGACATACTTTGTAAATGAGAATCTTTTAAAGTGGATAGCATCTTTTCTCATTTTGGTATTTCATCTATTTTCAGGTCCTTAATGAAGAAATATAGTTTTAAGGTGTGCTATATTTATGGGATAAAGTGCTCAATATCGGAGATAGAGCATATGTAAACATAAAA